ATTTGACCAAACTTCCTTCATGAAAGTTGTAGATCATGAAGTCCTCTATTCACCACAACTTGCCGAATGGGATTTGAATTATCCAATCAAGAGATATGAATAAAATGGTGGAAGGTGGCATTCTGAAATCGCAACAGAGCTCATCTGACTTCATCGTCTGTTTTCACCTTGCTCCTTCCCGGAATGATGTTTTCATATGATTTGTAGCCCTTGAAGTTAGCTTTCATGTGAAACTTGAATCGTGTCCTTTGGATACTTCTACAAAGAGATATGCTTGAACGATTTACAGAAGGTCATCCTGATCGCCGTTTTCCAGCTCTATTCATCCTCTTTTGATCCCGTAGCCAATCCTAGAGCTCTTTTGTCATCAAATATTCATCGTGAACCTCCCGGTGACCTCCAAAGCTCTCAAATCAATCTCGAATGCTTCTCGAATCATCCCAATTGCTCCTCAAGCGCCGGTGCCGAACTCTAAATTCCTGATTTAGACTCCAAATGACACAAAACTCGAACCAACACCGGTAAACATGACTTGAGCTAAAATTGAGACTTGTAACCCTTTAAAGCTAGGAAAACCATCATAAGTCGATCCCAACACGCATCAAATGCGTGTTTAAATACGGACTTATCAATGAACGATTTAATACTACACAAATTTTACTAAAATTGGTATGTGACAATCTTAAGATGACAAACCAAAAAGGAAAGATGAGACAATCTTAGTGGGATGAGGGAGTGATTCAGGGGCGGAGTCAGAGCACTGAGCCGGTACAAAGAATATTTTTGGAAAAAAATTCATACGACCTTTTTTACACTTAAAATATAAACATTTTTTAAATTTGGGCTGGGCTGGGGTCAGGGTTGGCCACCCCTTAGCTACGCCCCTGGAGTGATTGCATGCAGCGATTATAATTTATAAATAAAATATATCCATATTTCGGATAGAGGGAAGATATAGAACGAACCTTCATTAGTTTGTGTTATTGAATTTGTGTCCAAATTTATATTACTTCCTCTGTGCCAATTCATATCCTCACTAATTTGTGTTATTGAATTTGTGCCTAAATTTTTTAGTGCCCGACACCTTTAAAGAAAATCTTGTAATCGACACATATATATAGGAGAAATATTCAAATATCAATCCGAAAAGTAAATTTAAACAATCTAAGTACTCGATTATCATTCGTATGATTCTCTAGAGAATGGGACCAACGAAGAAACGCCTAAATCAACAAATATGAATATATGCAAAATATTAACAAGAAAGTGCACACGGTTGAAGAATTTGTTTAATACTACATACACATTTTCGAACTATTTAACTTTTGTGCTCTAATTTTTATAAATAAAGAATCTTAAATATTAGGGAGTATTAGTTAGCTCAGAATTGGAGGATCATGAAGTTTCGATCAACTCAAATATGTAAGAAATGCAATATCATGAATGCTATTTTAGTTTTATAATGAGGTAGTGTTTATTAAAAAGAAATTTCCATGAATAAACAAATAGAGGAAAGTGTTATTATACCCTTCATATTTACATTTGGGTGCATATATGAACTATGCCCTAAGATTTAGAAAGGTCCAAAATTAAATATCCTTAAAGTTTTTATTTAAGAGTAAATTTACCCTTACTAACTTTAAATATATAACATAAATTTAAAAAAAATAAAAAATAAATGCATGAAAATATAGGATTTTGAAAGTGAATAATAATAATAAGTTAAAATCCATTTTGTATTCAATGCCTCTTTATTAATATTTACATCAAAATGTAATAAACTAATATTATTAATATAAAAGGAAGCATTGAGCACAAAATGATCTTTTAAAGTTTTAAATTTTCAAAATATTTTTTAATACATAGGGTCAAACACCATAATTATGTAATTATATGTTAATGTTTTGAATATTTCTTTTATGTTAACAATATTAAATTGATATAAATATATTAAAAGGAACCATTATAACAACAAAGAAAAAATTACACAAATATACACTACAAAAAAAATACGGAATTGGCAAAGATTTTGTCTGGGATTTTGGCATGGATTATGCCAAATCCGTGCCAAAAAACTTTGGCACGAGTTATTTGGCACGAAAAATCGATAATCCATGCCAAATTTCCATGTCAATCACGTGTTTTTTTTGTAGTGATAAGTGCTTTAAACTCAACTAACTAAAATATGACCTTATTCATAGTCACTTTTTTGTAACTTCAAATACTTTTGATAATATTTATGTAAAAAACTCTATAACAAAATGGAATTCTTTATTTTTTTTACTTTACAATTTCCAAATTCAAAATACTCCGTATTCATTATGGACAATACATAAACTTTTACGGAGTATTATCAGTGTTCTAAAAGGCTTTAAAAGGCCTCGCCTAGGCGTGCCTAAGCTTAAGGCGTCACCTAAACGCCCCGCACCATCCCAAGGCGTGAAGAAAGGCGGCCCAAAGAAGACCAACCCATAAATTTGACTGAGTTCAAAGCCCATTAGCAGGAGCCCACATTACAAAGGTCTACCGCTTATGAAGTACTACGAGAAGAGCTCTAATTTATAGTTATGTTGGAATGAGGAGTGCTTGCTTCAACCGGTGTGGGAAATAAGTATAAGCTGGAGCCGTGCATACATGGAAGCATGGAACTAAATTCGCTTTGATATCATAGGATGGTGCAATCAGCATTTGCTAAAGTTTAAACTTGCTCAAATTACATAAATTGCAATATATTCTTTTCATCATCAACATTATTATTATTATTATTTGTTATTGTTATTATTATTATTAGAAATGTTTACATATTAATGATTAAAATAAAAATTGTTTTAAAGAATGTGAACTTTTAAGTTTTAAGTATATTAATTTTAGGAAATAATTACATATTTATGAATAAAATAAAGATTGTTTACATATATGATTAGTGACTAGAGTATTAATTGAAACATAGTAACTTATGTTCAGTTTTTAAAGTTATGTTATCATGAGATTACATTGTAGTAACTATTAGTCATATTTCTTTTATCATACTAACTTAATTATGTTCGATTTTTATACTTAATTTATCATCATACTTATCTCTATAAAAATCTATTTATTTTTTATTGTCATTCAACCAATATTTCAGCCTTTGTAGCTATTGAATATCTATATCATTACATCTATTATATGTGAATTTTAAAACTTCTTTGTAGAGAAATTCAAAATATATATGATATTTTTGCATTTCTCACATATAACATTTATATACTTACTAATAGCTCTACAAAAATTAAAATAAAGAGTAAAAATTACAAACGCCTTTTCACGCCTAAGTCCCGCCTAAGCCCGCCTAGGCTCCAAAGGCTTAAGGCTAGGCCGTGCCGCCTCGACACGCCTTACGCCTTTTAGAACATTGAGTATTATACATTTATTTACTTTATTAATATTTGGACAACCTAACAGAGAAGAAATGGTCTATAGTGGGGAGGGGTGTAATTATTATTGTGTAGAAAGCGTGCGACAAATTTCTACCTATCATCAAAGTGGGCATCACTTTGTAATTTAAGTCACCATAGATTATATTGCGATATTTGACTGGAAAAGTATAGGAGTATGAAGGAGTACTTCGTCGGGAGGGTAGGGATTGGTTTGTAAGTGCTTTTAAAAAAACATTTCTCAGCTTTTGGCTTTAAAAAAGCACTTATTTTCCCAAACACTACAACTTTTATTTTTCTCGACTTCCGCGTCAAAAGTGCTTTTACTTTTTCTATTACACAAAAAGCACTTATTTTACCAAACACTACCCACTTTTACTTTTCAAAATCACTTTTTCCTCAAACACTATCAACTTTTATTTAATCACTTCTCCTCATTTCATTAAAAAAAGCACTTTTTTAAAAGCATAAGGGAGTGTTTGCAATTGCTTCAACTTTAAAAAAGTGATTTTTTAAAGTGATTTTGGGAAAAGTGATTAATAGTAAAAGTTGGTAGTGTTTGAGAAAAAAGTGATTCTGAAAAAGTAAAAGTTGGTAGTGTTTGGTAAAATAAGTACTTTTTGTGTAATAGAAAAAGTGAAAAGCAGTTTAAAGCACCCTTCCACTTGCTTCCAGCTTTTAGCTTTTAAGTGATTAATTTAAGCAGAAGCTGTCATTTGAAAACACTCTTTTTAGCTTTTTTAAAGCCAAAAGCTGAAAAGCACTTTTTTTAAGCAACTGCAAACACTGCTTAAGCTGTTGCAAACAGACCCTAGCTGAAACAATGAAGTTTATTACATTCATTTATATATTAATGGAAATTTATTGTGAGATATCAAATCTTATAAATAAAAAAACTCAAGTATCTATTTTAGGGCTTCATACCTAAAATATCATAGTTTTTTATTTCTTTGCTTATTTATCGATTTTCACACTAATTTTTGTGACTTTCTTCCTCACAAAAAAGTTTACCATTTTAATAAATTTAAATAATACTCTGTATATAAAGTATTTAACTTAAAAAGAAAATCTGGATTTTTGCAGAATACACTTCTAAATGAGATTTAACAGTAATGTTGTGAAATCCCAATATACTTGATGAGATTTATCAATTTTTATGTCCCCAGATTTTGCATATCATTCCAGCCCGTAACTTTCCTTTTCAAGTCCTCAATTCAGGGTGAGCGACTAAACGTATTTTCGGGGTCGTGAAAGAATTCCCTTTTTAGACTAGTAAAGTAAATCCCAAAATTCAGACACAGAAATTTCAGGCGGTTTAACATGTTACCGGTTCAGTGTGAATTAGGATGTTTTCTTTTGGACTGAAATTTGCTGGTCTGGTTTGATCTGTTCTGGTCTGATCTGGTCTGGTCTGATCTAGTCTGGTTAATGTCTGGTCTCTGTGTCTTTTATAACTACGGAAATCTGATCTGGTCTGGTCAGGTGTGGGAGTGAAAACAGTCCAAAAGAAAACATCCTTTTAGCGTGCGTTCATATGTTCCTAGACTTGATTATAAATAAATACTAGCACGCGGCATATATATGCACCTTTAATTTATTTCAATATTCACCTCAACAGTAAGAGGAGGTATTAACGAAATCAACCAACCACTGGTCTGGCATTATTATTGTTTCAACGTCAATCGAATTGGCCGGCCGGCCAAGTCGCCTGACGACGACGTATAGATGAGGAAGTTTGTATCAGCCATTCGCTTCAGCCTCTTCGTCTTGGCAGCTTTGGCCACCAGCTCATCAGTGGAAGCCAAAACGGTGTATCAAGTGTGGGATGTAAAGTTCGAGCTCCGGTCACCGGATGGTTACCGGAAACCAACTTTGACCGTCAACGGCGAATATCCGGCACCCATTATCTACGCAACCCAAGGTGACACAATCGTGGTCAACGTCATAAACAATCTAGAGACCGAAGATCTCGCCATCCATTGGCATGGCATCAAACAGGTCGCTCATCACTATCATTTCATATGAATCATTTGTAGTTATCTCATCTAAACTGCTATATATACATACATGCGTTATTCACGTTTTCTACAATCCGTTCCCTTTTAAATGCAATATTGGACTCTTTCCGTTATTCACGTTTTCTACTTTGACTCTATTTTATTTATTAATGTATTATCAATTAAATATTAAAAAAATGTTGTTAAATCTCTCTCATTGTACATTTTCAAATCTATTTTTTATATTTTTATACGAATAAAGAATGAAAAATATTAATGATCAAACATGTTTGTTAGCAAACATGAAAAATGGATCGTTGCAATTGAAAAAGAGCGGAGGAAGTATATATACAATTCGTTTAATAAAATGATTTTAGTAAAGAAATTAGAATAAATCTGGACCGTAAAACTATATGATGTGGAATTGAATGTGTGTTAGATAATATTGAAATGTGCATAACAAAGGCTACGGCACAGTAATATTATGTGAAGCTTAAGTGTGCATTTTACACATTTTATTCTACTCATTTCAATTTTACATAATACACATTTAAGTTTTATTTTTTATTTTTCACATTTCAATTTTACCATGCATATTTTAGTTTCACCAAATGCATAATTCAGTTTAATATAATACCATTAAAGAGAAATTTGACTTTACACTCTACTTTTTGGACCATATAAAATTTGTTTCATCGCCACTTTATGTGCCTAATATATTATTATGAAAGAAATTGCTTATGAAAGAAATCGCTTATACTAATACCCCCGTATGAATTTAATTATGGTCCTTTCATCAAACTCAAATCTCGCAATGTACCTTCTTCTGCCTGGTATCATTTCATTCACTAAAGTTCAATATTAAAAAGAAAAGGATTATTTTATTTATAAATTCCACATCAGTATTATTAAAGGTATCCAGGCCATCCTTAAAATATTACTTTAATTTGGAAAACCAAAATCTAAATAATATTACTATCTCCGTCCCAATAAATTCTTCCAAGTCAAACTTGGCTCGCAAATTAAGGACGTCAGAATAAAGTGAAAATGTATAATTATAATTATGTAGAAAAAATGGTAAATGAATTTGAGCCACACAATTTTTTCAAAAAGGTAAGTTGGAAGAATTGTATGAGACGACCCAAAAAGGAAAGTTGGTAGAATTTAAAACGATTAATACGAGGTAGATATTAGCCTATTAATAATTTAATATTGGAAGCTACTTTTAAATTAAAAAGTAGTAAAATATAACTATATAATTAATTGCACTTGTCACATAGTCCGTACATACTATGTTTTGTTTGTTTTGATATATATATATATATATATATATATATATATATATATATATATATATATATATATATATTAATTCTCATCACGAGATAATATATAAGGATGTGTTTCATATTTATTGTAATGTAAATAATAAGATTGCTGATAGTCTATATATACAAGATTATTGAGGATCATGATGCCAATTTCATGTATTAACATTCCCACATTTTTACTCGTTCTTTTCTTTTGCATATAACCCACTCAGTTTGCTTCATCATCATATGTTTGATACATATGTTTAATTAATTCAAAGTCATTCACACTACACACATATTGCCATATTGGATTGCAACAACATAATTCAACTTTAATTTTGTTTCATATGAATAGACCCAAGGGACATCCGGAAACAATACAGTCTCTCTGTACTTTAGTACATGGGTAAGACTGCATACATCCGACCTCCCCTTACCCCACCGTAGGTGAGAGCCTTTACGGTACTTGGGTAAATGAAAATGATGATCTGATGATGAATAGACCCAAGGGAGTAATGTTTTTTCTTTTTTAAAGCGTTCTTTCATTTAAAAAACTATTACGAAGTATATATGTGCATGTTAGATTATAGAATAGTAGATACGATAGTATTATTTATGTTTGATCTTAATGTGTGTTGCATATATTCATCTATTGTTATTTGTACTCTCCTTGTAGACTTAAAACTTATTTTGTTTTTTCATCCATTGCACCATTACATCGTCTACTATATAGATTTTATTAATTAACTATATTAATGATTGATTAATGATGCGTGATATCATCAGTCTCGGACGCCGTGGGCTGATGGCACTGAGGGGGTGAGCCAATGTCCCATTTTACCGGGGCGAAATCATACCTACCAATTTGTTGTGGATCAAGTAAGTTGTGGACAAGAATGAGATAGCTAGCTTAGTACTACGTATTACTACGTATATTATATTTACAAATAAGAACTTTGATACCCATTTAAAAAATGGGTATCGACGCATCGTGCTGACCATTTACAAATCATTATATCATTTTAATCATTTTTAATTCTAACTTTTAAAAATTGAGGTTATTAAAAAATGTGACAACTTTTACGTAGTGAGTTTAATTATTAGACACTTTTATTGATTATGATGATAATCAAATTTACACTGTACTAATTATCAAAGCAACTTTACTCACATTTTAAGAATATGTCTGTATATTTATTAATTGTCTTGATACTTCCCCCTTCAAATATATATTACTAAAATGTGACTACTTTTCAGAAGCTAAAAAAAGACTACTTGAGTTCATTGGGTGATGATCCTCTTTTTTGGTTTGTGAGGCTTATTAGCTAAGTTTTTTACCAAACGCGTAACTTTTAGTTTTATGAGTTGAATTGTGTGATAATTGATATGAGTTTTAAGATTAAAGTTACTTTTCTAGTTGTATTGGCTGAAGTTAATGTGGATGATCATTTTAGCTGTTTTTTCATATATTTTTTTTTCATTTTATTAATAAAATACTTTTTTCATAAAACAGCAGAATGATCGAATCCAACCACTTCATTCAAAACTTCATAAATTTCAACAAAATAAATCAATATAGTCAGTTTGAGTATTATCAAACGGGCTCTTAGGGAGTGTTTGCAACGACTTAAAAAAAGACTTCTCGGCTTTTGGCTTAAAAAACTAAAAAGAGTATTTTCAAGTAAAAACTTCTACTCAAAAAAACCTTTCTCGGCTTTTGTGCAAAAAGTGCTTTTTACCAAACACTACCAACTTTTACTTTTAAAAATCACTTTTTTCTCAAACACTATCAACTTTTACTACTGATAACATTTCCAAAATCACTTCAAACAAGTGTTTTTTTTAAAGCAAAAACAATTGCAAACACTCCCTTAATGTCACTGGCTACGTTTTCAACAATACTCAGTTGCAATTGTGTAAAGCAGAACGAACTGAACATATTAGCCATTACAATTGCTATTAGTATAGTTACTAAAGTATAGAAAATTGTATTTTTCATTTATTTTTATTGTAATAATATACATTCGTTATTATTTCTTTATATATATTGTAAAAAGAATTTAAAGAGGTTTTTCTTAAAATATTACTAATAACAAAAATCATGGACAAAAAAAGTGATTTAATTAACAATTTAAATACAATTATAGTAGCTGAAAATTACCAAAATAAATTTATATCCACCACTTTTTCAGAAATAATGTTTGTGGTTTTTTAGATAATCAATTGGAAAATTTAAAAATAGCACTATTTTTTAATTTGTCCATTTCGAACAAAGAGTTATGCTTTAATTAGAGCACATTTGGTTTTGGAATTGGGTGAACCGTATGAACATATTGAAATTGATGAAGTGATGATTGAAAATGATGAATCGGTTGAATATGGTGAAAATATATTTTAAATGTATAATGTATGTATATTGAAAATATAAGTGTATAACTAAGAAAAAATTATAATGAAATAGGTTAAATTGCCCTTTTAAGAAACTTTAATCATTCAATCAGAAAAGTAATTTGAGATTTAGTTATTTTTTACTATAACACAATTAAAATCAAAACTTGAATATTTTATGAAATGATAAGTTGGATTTTTTATTGACTATAACACATTAAAATCAAAACTTCAATATTTTATGAATTGGGCGATTAAATTTGTTTGATTAACAAAGTGCAGCCGGGAACATTCCTTTACCATCCTCATAGTGGGTTGCTGAGATCGGAAGGATTACAATCATTTATCATAGTGGCAGCCGCTGCTGGAAAATCGGAACCATTTGTGCATGACTATGAAGCAAGTATTCTGCTGGAGGATTGGTACCACCAGAGTCATCTTGAACAAGCGGCTAGCCTTGCTGCCAAGCCCTTTCGGTGGGTTGGCGAGCCTCAGGTACGGACTCTCACCAATGTTTTTACTTACGACTATTTTAGTCCCAAACCAGACCAGACCGGACCAAACTTAAACAGACCAGACCAAACTAGATTTCCATATGAATAAAATACATAGAGACTAGACATTTACCATATCAGACCAGACCAATTCAGACCAGATCAAACTCACTCGTCCAATTTTGTTCACCGGTGAAAATCACCCTTAAGAAAATTGTTATAAACATTTTTTTTGTGATTCGATTTTTACGATGGTATCAATGTTTCATATTAAAAAAATTGTGATATTGGTACGATATAAAAAATCACTAAAATTAAAAAATTGATGTTTATTAAAAATTGGACCATAAATGAGAAAAGGGTATAACAATTATAAGAAAAAAATGAATTGAAATGTCATGTGCCGGCCCAATAGCCATGTTTGCTCTCATTTTTAAAAAACATTTTTCAAAATGTCAATTTGATACTTGAGTATGACTTCAATAAAGAGTACATAAATTTGCATAAGAGCTAATAAAGTACTTCAACTTCTCACCGGTGAAATAAAAAATACACTAACTTGCAATAGAGCTTAGAAAGTGTTTCAATTTGTTTTCAGAGTGGAAGTACATGTTTGGCAGACATAAGTCTCTGTCTTCTAGCTTATTGACTATTTAAAATTCACTAAAAAATTCTAGTTATATGTTTGGGATGACAATTTTTAAAAACTTTCGAAAATTAAAGGATCTTTTTTGATGAGATGCTACAGGAGTAACATCTGAGAAAAGCTTGTGACTTGTAGTATTAATTAGGTCTAACAGTTTGTATACCAAACAGAACTAAGGGTATGTTTGGCACAACCAGCTAAAAAGATACTTTTGCGAGCTTCTTAGGCTATGTTTGGCACGCATAAGTCTCTGTCTTCTAGCTTTTGTACTGTTCAAAAAGTTTCTAAAAGCTTCTAGTTGTATGTTTGACATGACAATTTTTAAGAGCTTTTCAAAAATTAAAAGATCTTTTTTGAGATGCTACGGGGACTAGCATCTGAGAGAAGCTCGTGACTTTTAGTACTAATTAGTCCTAACAGCTTGTATACCAAACCGAAATAAATCAAACAGCCAGCTTTTTACCAAACAGCTATCACCTTTTCTTTATAAGATCTTTTCAGTTACTAAAAGCTAACAGTTATTAAAAAGTTCACAAAAGTATCTTTTCAGCTAGTTGTGCCAAACATACCCTTAATAACTGTTGGCTTCTAGTGACTGAAAAGATCTTAAAAGGAAAAGATGGTAACTGTTTGGTAAAAAGCTGACTGTTTGATTTAGTTTGTTTTGGTATACAAACTGTTAGGACTAATTAATACTAAAAGTCGCGAGCTTTTTTCAAATGCTACTCTCTGTAGCATCTCAAAAAAAAATCTTTTAATTAATTTTTGAAAAGCTCTTAAAAATTGTCATGCCAAATATATAACTAGAAGCTTTTAAAGACTTTTTGAACAGTACAACAGCTAAAAGGCAGAGACTTATGCCTGTCAGACATAGTCTAAATCAAACAGTCAGTTTTTCATTAAACAGCTATCACATTTTCTTTTTAAGATCTTTTCACTCGCTAAAAGTTAACAATTACTAAAAAGCTCATAAAGTATCTTTTCAGCTAGTTGTGTCAAACATACCCGAAGTATGTTACATTTGTCAAATATAGATGGACAATTTTATTATTTGCGAAAAATGATTTTATGATTTCCTAACTTTTAGTTTTAATCAAAAATTTCAAAAAATGTAACAAATTTTTGTTTACTTATATTAGCAACTTAATTACGGTTTTTTTTTAATCATTGTCTCGTATCACTGTACTCACACAAGATTGATTTATTGTACTGCTGCTTTTTTTGCATTTTACAGTCGCTTTTGATAAATGGAATAGGAAAGTTCAATTGTAGCGATGCAAATGCAACCAACGCAGGTTGTAATGACACAGGACCAGAGTCCCTTTATTCCCTGACCGTCGTTTACGGCAAGACTTACCGGATTAGGATCGGCAGCTTGACCTCCCTTTCTGCTTTAAGTTTCGAAATTGAGGTATATTTTTGTTAGTTATTCAATCGCTTTTAGTTTTCTATTTTCTATTTCTCAATTACCAAAACAAGATAGCGAGTCCAACATTTGAAAGTTCACTACAATGGATTTATGTACAACATTTAGAGTGAAATAGTAGAAGTAATGAATAGTGTAGAAAAAGTATGAGAAGAAGTGTGAAAATATAAAAGAAAAGATAAATATAGAAAAAGTACAGGTAATTGAATATTTTTAAAGGAAAAACTTATTAAAATGGAAAAATATAGCAAACTTTTAAATAGGGGGAAATATCCAGAGAATTATTTGGCTCCAGCATGGTGGGCGGGGACCGACTACTTAAGTACTTATCAAACTTTACAAAAACTATATATGACATCCATGTACGTGTTACATTATAAAATGTCAAACTTATACAAAAAATAATACATCTATATTATATACGGAGTAGTAGTTAATACTTAATACTCCGTACTACGTATTTCATACCAATGTCAATGGCATAATCATGAGGATAAATCACACAGCTACACCAGCTAAACCATGACTATTGCGGTGTGATCAGAGCCCCTTTGATTTCATGCGCTAAATTGTGCAATAATCAGAAGTTGAAGCTAGTTACTTTGCTATATTCGTTGAAGTGACGGTAAAGAACCACTTGACCTATTTTTGATATAACTTTTTTTTATTTTATTAATGAAATACTTCGTATATTTTATCGGAGTATAAGTTTTCATAAATCAACAGAATCAGCACATCAAACCACAAGTATACCAATTGCCTAGCTAAAAAATACCCTAAAGTTGTTTCGCATAAATTCCGGGTGCCAGGTACACAATCAAACGACAAGCATATCAATTTGGCTCTCGTACCATGTTTGGATATTAATTTCCATCCTAAATTATCATTTTTATAGAAGGGAGGGGGAGGGTTTTAGTGATGACCTTTTTAAAATGAGAACACACTTATCAATAAGAAATTGGGTTAATTAATTATCAAAATAATAGTAAAAGTCACTCACATTGCACAAATAGGACCAAAAAATAAACTATGTTTCCATAGGACCAATTATGGGTGTCTTGGACAAATATACCCTTATAGCTATTGGAATGTTTTAATTCACAATAAAATAATAAAAAATAATAAAAATTTGTAAAAAAAATACAAAAAAAATATTTTAAATAATAATAAATTATTATTTTAAAAAAAATTAAAAAAATGCAAAAAAAAAACGCCGCCGCCTCTTCCGCCCTAGCACCACCACCTCCAGTCATCTGGGAAAAAAATGTCAAATTCATTATGAATGCCATATTTTTGGCAGAAGTAAGAATGATTCAAGTTGGCATTCTCAAAGAGAAATATGCCATTTTTTTGGCATTTTCCGGGAAAAAATGGTTGTTTTTAGTAAATATGGCTTTTTTTAACGGTTGGAGGCGGTGGTGCGGGGAAGCAGTACCACCACCTCCTGTCACCGGGGGAAATGCAAAATTCATTACGAATGCCATATTTTTGGCAGAAGTCATAAGGATTCAAGTTGGCAGAATGAAAGTGTTGGCATTCTCAAGGAGTAATATGCCATTTTTTTGGAATTTAAAAAAAAGATGGTCTTTTTTACACCGATCGGAGGTGATGGTGCAGGGAGGTAGTACAGGCGGTAGGAAAGACATCCATATTTTTTAATTTTTTTTATGGAGTATTACTATTTTTTATTAATTTTCAAAAAAAAAACACAAATTAAAAAAAAATAATTTTTTATTTTATAAAAATTTTCTTGATTTTTTTTATTTTTTTACAAATTTTTGAATTTTTTTAGAATTTATTATGAATTAAACATTTAATTATGACTTTTTACTATGTTTTACTCATATTTGAAGGAGAGGTAAGAATGGAATGAAGAAATAGGTATGTTTCTAATAGGACCAATATGGTCCTACTTTGGAATAAAAAATATAGCAAGTCCTATTTTGAGTTTTTGTCATAATTTTAGTTCTATTTGAAGTAATTTCTACAAGAAAATTTAATTTCCAACTTTCATGTTCCTTATTAATGACCGGCTAGAATTAAACAAAGTGACATATCTGTGATATCTAACGATAATTACAAAAATACCATTTTAATGTTTACCAATGATTGAATAACCTTTAAGAAAAACGATCGAATGAAATTAAAAGTTGAGATGTTACCGTAAAATTGAGAGCCCTGGAGTAAAACATTTTGAAATTCCAAAACAGGAGTATCATGTTTTTAATTCCCTAAATAGGAGTAAATTTTTACCATGTTTGGCATTACAAGACTTTAAACATGACATTTTTTTCCAAACTTGGCAGATTACTCCTATTCAGAAAATAAAAAACATGATACTCCTATTTTGGAATTTCAAAACGTTTTTACTCCTTTTTAAGCAATTTCTCTAAAAAAAATTCTCATTTTAAAGAGGAGTTACGTTGTTAATAGAGCTCCCTCCACTGCTCCACACGTGTATGTGTGCGCATCATGCGTTCATGACAATTCAATGAATAGAAAAATTTGGAAAGAATAACGAAGGAAATTAAAAAAGAAGTTAACATTAATTTTAAATTTTAAATAAATGACGTACGTGCGTTTGTTGAATTTGGATGCAGGGTCATGATATGACAGTGGTTGAGGCGGATGGTCACTACGTGGAACCATTTGTAGTGAAAAATCTGTTCATTTATTCGGGCGAAACATATTCGGTATTAGTCAACGCCAGCCAAGACCCTACAAGGAGCTACTGGATGAGTTCCGCGGTAGTGGCTCGAAACCGCACCACCCCAATTGGCTTGGCTATCCTCACCTACCTCAATACTAGTAATAGTAATAGTAATTCTGCTACGGCAAAAAAGCCACCCATGACTCCACCGGAGGTGGCCCGCTGGGACGACCTCGAGTCCCGGCTAAAGCAGAGTCGGGCTATCGTGGCCCGAAAGGATCACGTGATCGAGGTGCCCAAGACACCAGACCGCGTCATCCTCATGCTCAACACCCAAAACAACATCAACGGAACAAAGAAGTGGGCCATGAATGGCGTGTCCTTAAAGTTTCCGGACAAGCCGTATCTGATCGCGCTGAAAGACGGCCTACTAAAAGGCGGTGTTAACCAAACACAGCCTCCGGATTCCTACGACGTGAGAAACTACGACATCTATTCCGAGCCGAAGAACCCGAACGCTACGGCTAGCAGCTCCTATTACAAGCTGAAGCTCAACTCCACTGTGGACGTCATCCTTCAGAATGCCAACGTGCTGACCGGTAAAGTCAGCGAGACCCACCCGTGGCATTTGCATGGGCATGACTTCTGGGTGTTGGGTTATGGAGCAGGCAAGTATAACCAGTCAACTGACCAGAGCAAGCTCAACCTTGTGAACCCCATCATGAAGTACACTGTCCCGCTCCATGGCTACGGCTGGACCGCATTGCGGTTCAAGGCCGATAACCCGGGGGTGTGGCTGTTTCATTGCCACCTGGATGCGCATTTCTTCATGGGAATGGGTGTGGTTTTTGAGGAAGGGATTGAACAGGTGGGGGAATTGCCTCAGTCCATTATGGGATGTATTCGCACCAAACACTAGCTAGCAGGCTAGTAGGAGCCCCGGCCGGCACTTACATATACGTATACGGTTACATAATTTAGTTATTGTCTTGGACTTTCTAATCCCTTATATACACGTTGGTCAATCATTTTGACATCTACCGAGTGGAGTATAATTTTGTGAAACTTTTAAATTCTATTCTTGGAGTAATATTATGTTTGGTATTTAACCATCGATATTTTCATATCATCTTTAAATTTATATGTGAGAATAATGAAAAGACATACCAAAAGTGGTAGCATAGATGTCATATATATAATAATAAGAGTTTTGAGTACATTAGGAAAATAAATAAATATGCAAACCTAATTAAAGTATTAATTACACTATTACACTCTCTCAAGCTGTGCAGGGGAAACAAGTTTGCGTCATTGGCATTGATTGTATCTCTAAGTCCTCGGCGAACGCCGAACGCCTCACTCACGAATGAACGTTGCGCTCCGGTATCGATAAGGATTCGTGCATCCTTCCCATTAATCTTTAATGTTCCTACATGTATAAGCCATGTAAGACACCACTCTTAACGTGTCTAAACTTTATTTAGGGTTAGGGTGCATTTACCGTTCAAACGAGGTGGGTCCCGCTTTGTTACGAAAAAATTTCGGCCGAAAAAGACTTCGGATCGGCGCCGGTTCCGGCCTGACCGGCGCCGGTTGTCTGGGTTAAGCGCCCCAGATGCACCGGTTACGGAGGGCCGGTTCAACACAAGCTCGCCCCAGGGAGTGTCCGGCGCCGGTTGGTAGGTGTCCGGCGCCGGTTGGGTGGGTTTCACAGGCCAACAGCGCCGGTTGTGGAGGGCCGGTCGGACACAGGCTCGTCCCAGGGCAGTTCCGACGCCGGTTGGCGGGTGTCTGGCGCCGGTTGGCTGGAAGAATGCCCTGTGGTGCGCCCGTTGGAGAGAGCCGGTTCCAAACAGGCTCACCATATCGCCATCTCCGGCGCCAGTTAAGCAATGTGTGGCGCCGGTTGCCCCCTCTTTTTGCATGTTTTAACCTTAAACGCACCCATTTTGATCCTAACGTGTTCGGGACTTAATCCCTAGGATATGTACACATAAGTAAGGCTAATTTACCACACTTTAATGAGATAAATACCTGCAACGGAATCCAGGTTCGCTCGAGCATCCGCCTCTGTCATCGCATAGACTCTAGCTTGAGTCATTCCTTGATTTACGGATGGCGTGTTGCTCGTACTTGCTCCCCCATGTCCCCGGCTTGCTTGAGAAGCCCCGGTTTGATTCCGTGTACCCGTCGTGCCACTACTCGGTCCCGATGTCCTTGCCCCACCCAATTGTGGGCAATGCGCCTTCAAATGCCCGGCATCCCCGCATTGGAAACATCTAGGGGGGTCGCGACATTTACCGGAGTGGTTCTTCTTGCAATTGTTGCTACGAGTTACCACTGAGGCCTGTGACCTCGAGCCTTGCCCACTTGGGCCTTGGTTCCCCCTAGATGGTGGCAGTGGTGCCCGGAAAGATCCTGCTCCATGGTTCCCCTTTTTGTTGGAACCTTGAGAGCCATGACTCTCCCACTTTCTCTTTTTCGTCTCCTCGGCGTTTCTCTTCTTCCTCTCCTCCCACTGTTTCTCTCCTTTCAACCCTTGGTCAACCACTTGAACGAACGTCATGTTAGGCAATTGTGTTGCCCTATCACGTATCTCCAAGTCTAGAGCATCCCAGAAGTGGTTCACCATCCGGTTCTCGTCACAAGCATACTCCAGTATGTAGTTGGCAAGGTCCCTGAACTTGTACTCAAGTTCCTTCACCGTCATGTTACCACCTGGGTTAGAAGGGTGTATTCTCTCACCTTTTTGTTCACCTCGAAATCCGAGTAGTATTGTGCAAAGAATTCCTGTCGGAAATTCTCCCAAGTGACAGTCTCGCCATATTTGCCTTTGGTCCCATCCCACCACTTGGATGCCATACCTTCAAGTAATCTCACCGCAACCCTTAGTTTATATTCGGGGGTGAGTTGCATGTCCAGGGCTGCCTCATTCAGCCTCTTAATCCATTGCGCCGAAGTGGAGATGTCACCCGTTCCATCGAACGTTTTGCACCCCAAGTCTCGTGCCTCTTTGATGTATTTGGAGACCCTTATGATTGGACCTCCATCACCCCGGCCCCCATGTGGATCAATGTGGGCCCTAGAGTCGCCATGGCTTCTCCCTCTTGAAGCCCCGCCCGAAGGTTGCCTCGCCCGGCGCCTTCGGCGTTCCCTCCTCTCCTCACGCTCACGGTGGTACTGTTGAAGTAGTGCTTCAATCCGTGCTAAGGAACCATTTTCCTCCTCTTCATCACTTACATCATCATCATCCCCTTCATAAAGGGTCTCAACCGGCTCGGTTTCCGGCTGATAGGTCGAGTCCTCATAGGACCAGTAGCTCTCATTCTCAGTGCTCACATGACCGTCGCTCACGGTCTGCGATCGGCCTCCACGGCCCGCTCTCCTAGATGCTCTAGAGGTCCCACGACTGCCCTGCCTGGTCTCCACCGGTGCACGGCCCGTCGGGTTTCTCCTAGTAACCCTGCCATCACGGTCCATCTCTGAAAGAAATTTGGAAAGAGTCGTTAGACTCGTGTTAAATGTCAATTGACAGATCGGTACTTGAGACACTACTTGGCTCAAATTGCTGCCATACCAATTGCTAGGGTACCATCTTAACAATTAGAGACCTTGCAACTCAAGTACCAAAAGCTCTACAAGTACAAAACGTTTATGCTCATGGTTTTCAAAATCATTTCGAAAAGAAAATTTTGAGACTTCATTATGAAGTTTATGAACCTGGATCTGATACCAATTAAATTGTCACGCCCCGGACCTCCCCGGACACGTCAACAACCCGCTGTACAATACGAATAGTCAACCGCAGTCCAACACATTCATATTATACAAAGCGTCTTGAATATCATTCACACATATAACATCCGTAAACAAACACAATAAGTAAATCATAACGCAGCGGAAAACATTGTTTAAAACAAAAGGGCCACACAGGGCTATTCATGAGCACGCAGGCTCTATAGTAAAATATCCATGAGCAAATTTATTAATGTTTCAAATAGAATGGAGGAAGCACGAACCAAGTCTTCTCTCCGAGGAATCACTCAATCAACGAGCACAGGATGCAAGCTCAAGCCTCAACCTGAAATGGTAGTGAGACGCCCCCGAAGGGGTCAGTACTCTATACGGCTATAAAGTACTGGTGTGGCAGACATCTAATAGATATACAACAAGTATTTCAAACACAAGACCCTCAAATAGGGTGATAGTACATTATGATTGTAACCCTAAGTTACCCCGTTTGGAAATATACTTACTTTATATAAAAGTCAAGTAGTCAGCCCGTGGGCCCATATTCATTTAGAAATCAACATTCCCATTTCCCGTGACCATAAGCCACGACAACTCATAGAGTCCAACCCTAATACATGGCATTGTATTCTAGAGCTCGGCTCTACCACATCACCATACAATTCATGTCACTCGGGTCAATTTCCTTACCTTGCGTTCTAGAGCTAGGCTCTATCACATCACCACGCAAGCCCTAGAGCTCGTCTCTAGTTATATCATACATAGACTACAAATCTACCACCTTACCATGCATTCTAGAGCTCGGCTCTACCACATCACCATGCACCAAGGTCTAATTCTTAAGGAAACATATGCCTAGAATTGACATATCAATAAACTACTATGGGTCATCCTTAAAGACTGCCCATAACTTAACCTTAGCCTCATAATAAGTCATTATATACACTTGAAGTATATTCAAGTGCATTTCATACAATCCAATCCTTAAGATCAATTCTATCAACAATTTCCAATAATCACTAACTAGTATTTCAATACTATTAAGATTATCGTTATCATACAAATACTCTCATTTTGTAATTCTCTACATATTTATAAGCATGTAGCAGCAACTTAAGTATTCAATCTCAATACATATATATTCATTTATGTATCCACATAATTCATACATGAGTAAAATCCTTATTTCACAAAATAGTTCATTTATAACTCGTTTAATCTCATATTATTCGTACATCCTCAAATCATTTCCAATTTCATTCTTTGGAAACTATATCAATATTTAATCATCATAATCCATGAAAAAGTATGCTTTAGGCATTTAGGTAATCTCATGCTTAACCTACAAGTTGTAAGCAATTAGATGTCAATCCTCGCCTCAAATGAGCTTTAAAAATTTCCTTCTCGATCCAATGACCAAAGCCTCGGCCAAGGAAGCTTGAGAGCTGATTCCTTGCTTAGAAATGAGTGTTAAACAGCCTCCTCAAAGTGCTAGTTCAACCCCTAATCGTTGATACGAAAACAGCCCCTAGAATGGGTGTTTTCCGGCTAACTCGTTTCCTAGTTTTCCAAGATTTGCTCTAGGTTAGTATCTAACCTTTACATCAATGACATAACTTTATAAGGACATATTATACACTTGGAGTAGTGTATGATAGTTCCACCAATCGTTCATATCATTTGGAAAATGAAAGGAAAGGTTTTGGGTTTAAGACTCACTTTAGAAGATTAAATCCGTTTCTGCGAGGTTGTGTTTTGCTCGGACGATTTGGAAGCCTTCCACTACTCCGATTGATGCAAACCAGACCTTCACGGATTTCCCGTCTTGAGATCTTTCTTTTGGTATCTCGCACGCCTGATTTGGATTGGTATAACTCGAGATATCAACCAAACAGCCTCAACACTCTCACTGCTCGAGTTTACAGACAGCAGTTCACTCCAGCTCAATTTTTGTATGATAAACTCTAATTTGAGTACTAGGGACTTATATAAAGAATATGGGATAACATTAATTGATGAACCCAAATTGGAAATTTGGGTTCAAGCCTACTCACCGCATTGAAAATTTGGCTCACTTGGCTCTCCAAATTGTGGATGCTAGATTTGGTTGTTCCTTGGAATTGGGCCACACTTTCTTGCATTGTTGCCATATTAACGACAAGTGCTCGAATCATGTCTTCGGTGGACATATTCGAGTTTGATGTTTGGCCTTGCGGTTTGTATGGTTGAGAAGGAGGGTTTGATTGTTGAGGTTGTTGAGTATTTCCGTACCCTAAATTTGGATGATCACTCCATCCCGGATTGTAAGTGTTGCCATGAGGATCGTACCTCCTTTGACCTTGGAACCCCAATGCATTGACTTGTTCGGGATTCTCCTCTTGTAATGTTGGGCAAGAATCGGTGGGATGCCC